ATTGCAAATACACTAAATTTTATCCTATTTTATTTGCATGTTTAGGATTTTTTTTTTCTTTAATTGTAAGTATACTACATTTTTTACACTTACACTAAAAATTCTCTCTGGTGGGAGCGACGACGCTATTCTCTCTGGTGGGAGCGATCCATTTTCTGTTACTATCTTCATTTGTAATCTCGGTTTAAGCTTCTCCTGTTTCATCTCATTTTCCTCTTTGCAACCCCCTTTCATTGATACTAGTATTGTCATTCTTCTCTGTGTTCCGATTTTGGGGATTAGGGTTTGGAAACAATGGCAAGCGCTCAAGACGACGAGCTGTCTGATCAATTAGAAAGATTCTCTCTTTCTGAAAACGAAGCAAAATTCATAGACATTGCTCACACAGACATCACTCTCAGTGCTGAAGAATGTAGCAGGAGTCTTTTTGGGAAAATTATTGGAGACCGCGCTGCGAGTTGGATTGGAGTCAAGAGAACAATGTCCAATATTTGGCGGCTCAATCAATCGATGGAAATTAAAGAACTCAGCCCAAACTATTTTCAGTTTATCTTCCAAAGTAAAGAAGACTTACAGAAAGTCTCAGCTGGTATACACTGGAGCTTTGAAAACCAATATCTTGTCCTCAAGGAATGGAGAACAGGGATTTCAAGTAAGCACTCTTGTTTCAATGAACTGAATATTTGGGTTCAAGTCACTAATGTACCCTTAAATTGGTTAAGCACTGAAGTGGGATTGAAAATTGGCAAAGCTTTCAAACATGTTAAGAATGTAGTTTTAGCCAATGCTGGGAATCATGGAGGGAAAATTATGAAACTGCTAGTTACCCTTAACCTAGAAGAACCATTGCCAAGGGTTGCCAGCATAAGGTTGGGAGAGCAAGCGGTCAAAGTGGGATTTAAATATGAAAAACTGTTACACCTTTGTCATTACTGCGGCAAGATTGGGCATCTCGATAGAACTTGCTCTAAGAGATTTACGGACATCAACAATAACTCTTTGAAGGAAGGTCAATATGGGGACTTTATGAAAGCTCATGACACTCAGAGATGGTTTGAACATCATAATTCAGGCTCTAGGGGCTCTCCCCAGCCAGACTTTCCTGCCCCAAGTGACCAGAGATCACCACCACATACTCATTCCCAACAGGCCGAGACTAGCCAGCAGATCATCATAATGCCACAAAGTTCACCTACTAAATCAGCAGAAAAAGCCCAAGACTCTTGCACATCTGCAACTCCTGCCCTCACTCACCAAAAATCCATGATAGAAGCCCCATTGCAAATAGTTGAAGCTGGGAAAGATATGGAAGTTGATGCAAGGTTGCTGCCTGAATCAGCAGAGTTCATAGTCCATAATAATTTGATCTCATCCTCAACTCAGAATCTGAAAACTTGGAGAAGAGACAGAAGCAAAGATGGAAGGTTGCTCAGGAATCCTACTGTCTTACCTATCCTCACAATTCCACCCCAGGCTACCAGTGAGAAAAGGCCTAGAGACACCGAAGAAGAACAAGCATCTCCTGAGCAAAGTTCTCTCCCTAACCAATCAGTTTCCAAGAAAAGCAAGTCAAATGAAGAGAAGGTGGGGGCTGCCAGCCTTGAGTGGCACCACCAGGAGCAATGTTAGCTGTGGTGTGGAATTGTAGAGGGCTGGGTGGGCCCTCTACAGTTTCCCAAATGCGAGAGCTGATTAAAGCTCACCACCCTCACTTTTTTTTCATTTCTGAGACAAAAAAAAACAAAATCTTATGTGAATTGTATTAGTAAGAAATTAGGTTATGCTGATAGAATAGCTATTGTTGACCCCATTGGTCTCAGGGGGGGGTTTAGCTTTATTTTGGGATTCTAATGTTGTAATCTTTCAGATTCTATGT